ACTTTTAAAAAATAAACTTATTTTAGAATAGTTTTAGATATGTAGAAAAGTTGATCTTACAGAGACCTCCCATATATCCTGCACCCAGTTTCTCCTGTTATTAACTTTTCAGATTACTGTGGCACATTTGTTAATGAACCAGTGTTGATTGATACATCATTATTAACTTACAGTCCATACTTTATTCAGATTTCTTTAGTTTTTACCTAATGTCCTTTTTCTGTTCCAGGATCCAAAACTATTGATTTTAATTTATTAATTTTGTAACCAGACACTTTATGGAATTAGCTTATACTTTCTAGTACTTTTTCTGCTTATTTTAAAAGGATTTTCAGATATGCAATTATATTTATGAATAACAAAATTTTTTTGTTGTTGTTAATCTTCACCCGAGGATATTTTTCCATTGATTTTTAGAGATATTGGAAGGGAGGGAAGGGGTTGCGGGGGAGGGGGGGGAGAGAGAGAGAAACATCAGTATGGGAGAGAGACATTGATTGGTTGCCCCGACACTCGCCCTGACTCTGTGGGGGATTGAACCTGCAACCCAGCTCTTGATTGGGAATTGAGCCTGTGACCCTTCAGTCTGCAGGCTGATGTTCTACCACTGAGCTACACTGGTCAGAGCTGTAACAATTTTAACTTTTTTCCTATATTTATACATTTTTTCTTGTGTACTTGCTTTGCATGGTAATTTATATATCTATATTAATGCTGACAATATGGGCAGCCTTGCCTTATTCCCTACTTTATTGGGAATTTTAGTGTTTTACTATTAAGCATACCATTTTTGTTTGAAATATAGATTGTTGTTTTTTTCTTTATCCTTTTATGGAAGTATTTATTTGTTTTCCGGTGACTTCTTGTCACTCATTATCTGAATAGTATTTACCTTGATGTTTTACAAGTCATATCTACCTTATCTTTTTCGTAGCTCATCTATGGTTCCTCTGAACTACAGGGTATTCCCAAAAATGTATATATATTTGAATAATTATAAAGGCACAATAAGTTAAATTTGAAAAGAAATATCAGTTGAGCTATCAGCTGTTCAAGTATGAATATATATTTTGGGGACATCCTATATTTCTACTCAGAGGTCTTTTTGTTTACTTAGCTTTGATGTCACTACATTGTTTAAATATTATTAAAAACATTACATAGCCTGGTTGGTGTGGCTCAGTTGGTTGGAGCATTGCCTTGTACTCCAAAAGGTGGCGGATTAGATTTCTGGTCAGGACACATACCTAGGTTGGGGGTTCGATCCCTGGTCAGGGCGTGTGCATGTGGCAACCTATCGATGTTTCTCCTGCACATAGATGTTTCTCTCTCCTCCCTCTCTTCTCCTCTCCTCTCTCTTCTTTCTCTTCTCCTATTCCTTTTCCCCTCTCTCCCCTCTCTCTTCTCTTCTCTCTCTCCTTCCTTTCTCCCTTCCTCTGTTTAAATTCAATTTAAAAACAAATGAATGAAAAAACCCACATAGTCATTGTGCTGTATATGCCCATGGATGATCTACTTTAGTTTTCTGATTTAATCCTCATCACATAGGCACGGGTCAATTATTAACTCCATTTCCAGCCCTTCTCCCCTCTCTGGAGAACGGAGAATGGAGAATGAGGCTGAAAATTGTAATGTCTCTGAAAATCTTTCTTTGAAAACACAGTATTTGTATATCTAATTTAATCTATACTAATAAAAGGGTGGGGAATCAGGCTGGCAGGCACGTGAGTGGTTACGAGCCAGCGGTCCTGGATTGCGAGAGGGATGTCTGACTGCCAACCCCTGTGGGATCGGGCCTAAACCGGCAGTTGCACATCCCCTGAGGGGTCCTGGATTGGAGAGGGTGCAGGCCGGGCTGAGGGACCGCCCCCCCACACACGAATTTTGTGCACTGGGCCTCTAGTAAAATATAATAATGAATGGTAAATACTACTAGGTTTGCTCTTTGATATATAATTTATAAAACTAAAAAATAGATGACCTGACTAGTTTCTCATTTTTTGGTGTTTGATTTTAGGGGACCAGTGAAACTCATGTAAATGCAGACATCTTTTAAAATTTTCTTGTAATATTAGTGAAGCACAGTACAGGGAGGGTTTGTGATCCATTTATGATTTGATACTAATATTGTCACTTGTGCGGAGATCAGCTGAGAGGCCCTTGAAGTAATGCAGGTAGAGTAGAGAACAAAGTTACACAACAGCCCAGTGTGTACCTATGCACTTTATCTCTTTGGGAAAAGTGAAACTGTTGCAGCACAGCTCAGCTGTCACCTGGAAACCTCAGGGGTAAACTCTGACAGGGCTTAAAAGAACCTGTATAAAAAAACATAGTATAAAATAAAGGGTTCCATTTGTAGTTTGAATAGGAAATACAAGCGTTCATCATCTGATACTAGTTTTCAGTATGAAATGGTCACATACTTTTTGTTTTGTTTTCAGTCTTTTCAATAATCAGTGTTTAAAAGGAATTCTGTACTTACTATATATATAGACCCTACACATTTTAGTGTGTTTCTTGGCACTCAATTATCTACTGCTTTTGGCAATATGATAGTAGGGAAGGGAGAGTTTATTTAGATCTGTTTTAGGCATTCGTCTTTGACTCATTTGTAGAGGCAAATACGATAGACTATTCAATATTAAGTAGTTTCTTTTATCTTTTCCCACGTGAAGAGGCCATTAACATTTCCATTGTCTGCCACTCTGAGTAATGGAGAGATTGCTCTCTTTCCATCCACTTGATTAATATAATCAATCATTTTTATCTTACTATGGACTACGGTGAACAATGATGGAACTCTCACTCGTTTTTCATTGACAAAATGCAATTGGTATTGTGGTATATAGTAAAACATGCCGTGGCATAGGTATAAGAAACCTTGTTTACTTTTGTTGCTTTGATATTATTAAGATGGTAATTTTGACTAAGTCATTCAGAGTCTGTAGGTCTAAATTTCCTGTCTGGAAATGAGTGTGTTGAACTAAATGATCTCCAAGAATTCTAGTTCTTAGGTGAACATATTACGTGTAAATCAGCATCATGCAGAATTTTTGTAAATACTCTGAGTAGTATATGGGTTCATATTTGTGTTTACTTTGAATTTTTTATTAATTTGAATGTGTGTGTATGTGTGTGTATTTTCTGCTTAACTTATTCAGAGCTTTTTTTACACAATGAATGCTAAGTTTATTAACACTATAAATTGAACAACTTATAATTTTAAACTCGACTCTTTACAGGTTGAAAACATTTTACAGTCATTTTTAAGAGATTTGATTTTTAAAATATGGCTTAAGATCCTTTTAGCTTAAATTGCGTTTTTAAATTTAGTATTCATTTTTAAGTACTTAAGCTATCTTACAAATATTTCAAAGTACTTAACTCTTTTAAACCTGATATTTATGGATTTTGTAAAATTTTAAATACATTTTCAGCTTAAAATTATAAGTCTAAGTCAGTTATTCAATGATGTTTTTAATTAGAATCACAGTTTTATTTTTTTAATTTAAATTTGTTATTGTTTAAATTATTACATAATTCTCCCTTTCCCCCCATTTACCTCTCCCCTGCTGCCCCACAGTTTTATTTTTTATATACCCTAATATGAATGACTTCTTAATCTAAATATTTAAAAATACCAAATATATACTTATTATGCCCATATCCAATCCAAAAATATTACTCTCCCTCCCAAATAACTTAAAAAGAAAATAAAAAGCACACATTTTTATTACATCCATATTCTACACCTGCCTGTTTCACCAGGATCTTTTCAATTTTACCATCTCAAAAATTTGAGGTTATCTTTCCAAGCAAATGTAGTTATGTTCTCAGATAAATGAAAACATTTGGAATCTAGAGCTATAGACATCCAGTGTGATTTTTTTTTCTTATGAATGTGGACATAAGTTGAGTCTAGTTTTATAGTCTCTACCAATAGTGAATCTGAGGCCATCCTATCTAATAATAGACAAACATGGTAATTAACCATACATCCGCTACGCTTCCCATTGGCTAACCAGGGCGATATGCAAATTAACTGCCAACAAAGATGGCGGCCGGCAGCCAGGCAGCTGAAGTGAACATGAGGTGGGCTTGCTCCAGTGATTGGGGAAGCCAAGGTTCCCCGCCTGCTGCAGCCGGGCTCTGAGCTCCAGTCTAAGCAACAGTGTTGCAATTATAGAAGCTAAACAAACCCCAGAAACCTGCTTTCAGCCAGCCAGCCTCGGAGCTGGAGCCGCAACAAAGTTTCAATTACAGAAGGTAAATCCAGAATAAAAAAAGAAAAAAAGGAGAGACTGGGAGCTTCAGTTGCAGGCTTGGCCTGCCTGAAAACAGCCCTCAGCCCCTCATCCAGGCTGGCCAGGCACCCCAGTGTGGACCCCCACCCTGAAGGGGGTGCGGGCAGCCTGAAAACAGCCCTCAGCCCCTCATCCAGGCTGGCCAGGCAAGATCTGCTCAGTCACAAGCCAGGCTGATGGCTGCCAGTACCAGCGGTGGTGTGGGAGCCTCTCCTGCCTCCTCAGCAGCACTATGGATGTCCGACTGCAGCTTAGGCCATCCTATCTAATAATAGACAAACATGGTAATTAACATATGTAATCACATATGTAATTAAAGTTTTTCTAGTAGCCACATTAAAAATAAATAAAAACAGATTTAATTAATCTTAATAGTATTTTATTTAATGCAGTACTATGTTATTTCAACATGTAATCAATATAAAAATTATTGAGATGTTTTACACTTTTTTTTTTTCATAGTGAGTCTTCAAAATCCCGTGTTATTTTATTTACAGTGCACAATTCAGTCAGACTAACCACATTTCAAGTGCTCAGTAGCCTCATGTATCTAGTGGCTATTGTATTGGGCAGTGCTGTCTTTTACTTTTGCAACTTAGTAATAGTAACATAATTGATGCTGTGTGTGTGACTGTGTATGTTTATTCTTAATTACATATTTTTCTAACTGAATGAAATATAAGATATTTAAAAATGCACATCTTTATTTTTTTCCTCTCAAAGGCCCTTCCTTCTTCCATGATTATAGTAGCAGTTTATTGTCCTGTGATAGCTGCTGTTTTCATTGTTCTGAAGATGGTCAACTATCGACTCCACAGAGCACTGGATGCTGGAGAAGTTGTAGATAGGAATGCAAATGAGTTCAAAGATCAGCGAGCCAAAGCTGAGCAAGGCAACTGTTCAATCAGGAGAAAAGACAGCAATGGACCGAGGTAAGGTCCCCCATGTCACTCTGTAATGATGTAGATCCTGCATGAGTACAGTGATGTGATTATTGTATTGTGCCCATTCTGTAACCTGGTTTTAAAGCATATTTATTTATATGCCACAATTTATTTTTATGTGATCTATTCTGTGAATGTTTATTAGTTGTACACATAATATGTCAAGTTTTGCAGGATTTTTTTTCTTATTCCAAATTATATAAATAATTCACACGTCTACTTTCAGTATTCTTATTTTATTTTTCACTCTTAAATTGTAGTCAATCTGAAAACATTCTGATTTTCTTTTGTAGGTTTAGTCCCAACACTGTTTAGTGAATACTAAATTTTTTTCCGCAGTGATTTTAAATCCTTTATTTTTTATGTACATTACTTATGTCAATTTCTGGGTTTTGTTTTCTGCCCCATTGATCTTCCTGTCTTTTTTTTTGTGTATAACATACTCCTTTTTGGCTTTCTAATAAGTTTAATACTTAGCAGTGTGAATCCCTCTTCAATATATTTTTTCAATGTTATATTGGTTATTCTCATGCATATACTTGCTTAGATTTTTGTGAGATGTCCCCTGTGTGCTCATCCTCCAGAAAATACCTTTAGAGTTTTGATGATAATTCTATTAAATCTGGAGAGAATGCAACCTTTAAATAGAGAGATGCTGTGTATACCCACTTATTCACTTGTCTGTTATGTCTTGTAAAACTTCAGTTTTTTTTTTTAATGGGTTCTGAGTATTTCTTAAGTTTATTTTGTTTCTATTAGGAAATGCGTACTCTTGTATAGCGGGTAAGCAAACAGAATATAAACTCTGCACTTAATGTATGGGGGCTTGAATCACTTCCTGATTGTATGATCTTGGAGGAGTTACTAAGTTTTGTATGGCTTGACTTCCTCATCTGAATGATGAGGCATATAATAGTACTCATAGTACTATTAGTACTCATGTGACTAATAGTGCCCATAGGCCATATTACAATTAGAACAAAGGATAAATGAGAAATCCTGCAAGAACTAAGGATTTTTATTGGAATTAAGTTGAATTGCTATCTTTACCAAATTGAATCTCTCCATTTATTTAGTCTTTTTTAAGGTCTTTCAGTGAAGATTTATTATTTTTCCATTAAAAGGTTTATGTAGCTTTTGTTAAATTAGCCAAATTATTTTATACTTTCTCTGCTATTATACATTTTTTATAACTACTTTTTTGTTTTTTCCCTTTAAACGAATTTAGCAGTTTACTTTGTATCCAGCAAACTTATTAAACTCCCTATCAACAATGAAACTTTATAGTTTCTTTCTTGATTTTCTGTAAATGATGTTTTATTTCTTCCTTTCTAGTCCTTATACTTCTTGTTTAACTTTTTCATTGGCTATGATTTCTAGCACATGGTTAAATTGAAGTAGTATTAGTGTACATCCATGTGTTTTTCTAATTTCAAAGTGTTTTTAAATTTCACCATCAAATAGGGTCTTTGTTATAGATTTTTGTTTTTGATGTCTCCCTTACCCCACCTTCCCACCTTGTGACTCACATTTTTTTCTGAGGAAAAGACATGAACAAGAAAATCTGTACTTTTATTTCCAGAGCCTATCTCTGTGCTTAGTACATAAAAGCTGTCAGTTTGTTGCATGAATGAATGAATGAATGAATATAGTAGGACTACTTGAGTCTGATGGTTTTCTTTGACTGCAGTGCAGCAGTTAAAAATGCTTATTAAATCTGTATCTTATAGGAAGAGGCAAAGTCATTGTTTGTATTACATTTCTAATGTTTCCGCAGAGGAAATTACACTTAGAATTTTATGATTTGAACAAAAACATTTAGGAGATAGACCACATTTTCTCTCTGTTTCTCATAGCAGTAATGCTTACAGTATTATAAATTAAGGATATATTTAAACTGTATATAAGTGAATTTTAGGCTAAGTTTTCTGAAGATTTATTTTGTTTAGGAACTTTGTTTTTATGTAGTCATACTTTTATGAACAACATTGTAATCTATATTTGTCAATGGTGCTAGGATGTTTCTGATGAAAATCTGAGCAGTTAATGGTGCTAATAATCAACAAATTAGTTTGTGAAGTCTCCTTTATAATTCAGATTAGACTCTATCCTTCTTCTTTTCTGCCTTGCCCTGTACCTGGTATATATTTTTTAACAGATGGGGAAATTAAGGTATAAAGGTCAAATTTGGTGTATTGCTTACTACAGTTGACCATTTTGCTTCTGTGAGAATTTTAAATTACTATGTTTTCCAGGTAGTATGTGCTAAAACTCTCCATTGCTGAAAATTGGCAAGGCTTGCCAATAAAGAAAATTCTTACTCAGCTGTTTTATATGTTTAGCTATATTTAGTATACATGTGGCTGGCTAACAGTTCTGCTTCTAAATTTATAGAGAAGAGAGAGGTATAGTAATTTTGCTAGAGGATTTTTTTAAGGAGTCATCCATTGTTTTCTTCTTCTTTTTCACTTCCTTAATATCTTCTTCTTACTCAATGTTGGCCATTGAGCATTAGTTCTAGAACATTGTTTCTCAGCCGGGGGTGATTTGCCCCTAAGAGACATTTTTGCTTGTCACAACTAGGGGGAGTGCTACTGGCATCTAGTTTGTAGAGGTCAGGGATGCTGCTATGCACAGGATGGTCCCCACAATCAAGAATTACATGACCCCAAATGTCAGCATTGCTGACGTTAAGAAACTTGCCAGATGATGGTGTTTATTTTTGGTTTTGAGCTGGAAAGGGAATTTCAGTGTCTTATTTGTTGAAAGGCAGTAATGGTATCTTAGACTGTGAGCTTTAGAGTTGTACAGATCTGGTGTTCAAATCTTTTCTCAGTCTTTACTGTTTTGAGTGCCTACATTCAGGTGTGTGGGGAAAAAACAAAAAACAGATATGATAACACATTGTAGAGTGCTGTGTAAGTGTTATTTTTATCCTCCCTTCCCACTTGAACTCCACATACCAGTGACTCAGTGCATGTTGTTTGCTCCTCTGAGACCCTAGCCAAGTTTTTTCACCCTTTGGTTTTTAGTTTTTTTCATCTGTTAAATCATAGGTTTTAAGAAAATACTTCATGAGAAAATGCAAATAGAGCACATGTTCCCATGACTAGAATGTACTACTTAGTAAATATTTGCTTTTATTTTAATTAGTAATATTACATTCAGATTATAATCATTTGGACTTGCTGTCAGAAATAATGTATAAAACTAGGCAAGATTACCCTAGCCCATGTGGCTCATTGCACCAAAAGGTTGCTGGTTCCATTCCTGCCCAAGGCACCTGCCCAGGTTTCGGGGGGTGCAGGAGGCAGCCAATAGATGTTTCTCTCTCACATCAATGTTTCTCTCTCTGTCTCTCTCCCTCCTCTCCCTTCCTCTCTTTCTAAAATCAATAAAAAACAACCTTAAATAAATAACAAAAAACTAGGCAAGGTTATCTATCAACTGATGACTAAATAAGCAAAATGTATTTTATTTATTAAATGGAATATTATTAGGCCATGAAAAGGTATAAAGTGCTGATACATGCTACAATATGGGTGAGCCTTGAAAACATTATGCCAAGTGAAAGAAGCCAGTCACAAGTGACCACATAATATATGATTCCATTTATGTGAAACTAGAGGCCCGATGCACAAAATCCGTGCAAGGAATTCGGCCCTTGCAGCCCCAGCTTCTTCCAGAGGGTCATCCGGAAGGACATCCGAAAGGTCATTCGGCTGTTTGGTCTAATTAGCATACTATGCTTTTATCATTATAGATGTCCATAATAGGCATCTGTAGCGACAGAAAATAGATTAGTGGCTACTTAGGCCTTGGCAAGATGGGAAGTGGATAAGATGGTAAAAGCTAAAGGGATTTGCTTTGGTGGATAAAAATATTCTAACATTAACTGTGGTGATGGTTGCACAACTTTAGGAATATACTAAAAGCTGTTGAAGTGCAGAGTTTAAATGGATGATCTGTAATTTATATATCAGTAAAGTTGAAGTATATAAACTAGGCAAACCTATATAAACCTTTCTCTGGTATTGTATATTTTTTCCTTAGTCTTTACCTTGCTCTCCATCTTCTGATTTTCATGGAATCTGACTTAGAGAATGCATTCCAGTGGAGATAGAGTGATGTTGCTGGATATTATTCATCACTAGTTCAGTATGGTAATAGCTGTCTCTATATACTCACTTAAGGTTTTACCAGATTAGAAAAATATTCCTCATCCTGGCCTGTATGTCTTGTATGAGTTAACACCAAACAACTAACAAACTCGAGCATGTTCCACTTTTCTCACACATGGACATTTGTATGCTGAATTGGTTATCAGATTTGTAACCGATTTCCAATATGCTTTATTTTTATAAATGGATAGCAAGTTAGAAAGCTAATTTTCTTTATTGAATATTACCTATCTATAGTCGGTGGCCTAGAGTTAGGAACCCTTAAGCAAATAGGGATCTGATAGTTATGAAACCATTAATAAGAACACTAAATATGATATCGTGATAAATACTTATCATGATAAGTGTTGCATGGAAGCAACACTTATAAGCAAATTCTATTTTGCCCATATCTTTTGATGGCAGCTGTCAGAATACCCCACCCAAACAGGCTAAGGGAATTATGACTCACATTACTGAAAAATCTATATGTAAGGGATGTCTTCAAATGTGTGATTTCAAAGTGGTCGGAAGGTGTGATTTTAAACAATCACTTTGTGGTCCTGTTTCCCTTCACCAGGCTGTGACCTTTTCTTTTCATTGGTTTTTTAGACAGCCTCTCCCGTTGTAGTTGTAAAAAAGAAAGAGAAAAAGCAGCTACATTAACACTAGCAGATAGAGATAAATGTCTTTTCTCAACAATAGAATACTCCTGGCCTGATTCAGGCTAGCTTGAGTTGGGTCATGCATGTGCTTATTCTAGAACTGAGCTCTATCACCAAGAGAATAGGACCTGCTGATTGACTTTGGTTAGTAGAACTCACTGAGGATGGGTCAGCCTCATCCAAAGCCATCTGAGAGTTTGGGATGGGGTGGTTCACCAGAAGAATTTTGGGTTTCTTTTTTGTTTGTTTTGTTAATGAAAAGGCTGAATTAAGTGTTGGATGGCAAAATAGTTTATATCCACTATAATGCCTAGCATATATCCTAGAACTTTTATCCTTGATAATAATAGCTAAAAAATTATTGAGTACTTAATTCTGTATATGCCAGATAGAATAAATAAAAAACTTGGGGCAAAAAATAAGGTTATGATAAATTTTAGGCCTGAGTTGTTCTAAAAGTTGTGTTCCTAAGGAACTTTATACATTTTTAAAAAATTGGTGTAATCGCTTTTCCTAATTTGGGGGAATCCCATCATCTTTAAGTACTACTATATATAGGGACCTCCCCAGTTTTTTGAACCTAGAACTTTTCTCTTTTATCTAGTAACTGTTGTTACTATATAGTGAGCATCATTTTATTTAACTTAAGCCTTCTAACTCCTAACTCCTACACACAATTTTAGGTTTCCAGTTGTATAAAACAAGTTAGTATCCCAGTTAAGTGCTGTTAACTTAAAAAAAATACAGATGTAAGTTGCTTGACCAGGATGACTGTTCTTTTGCATGTCCATCATTGTGTCGCACAGCTCAGTCAGACTGGTCCTGAGAGTGGTATAATATCTCATTACTTGCTATGTTTACAATGACCGATTTCTCTTTGCTCTTAGGAAACAAAAGGCAAATCATTTCTTTTCTAGAGTGTTTATATGACACACATCACAAAATATGTACTCTGTTTGGTGTGCCTATTATAATTGTAATTAGAGGACCGGTGCATGAAAATCTGTGCACTGGTGGGGGTGGGGGGGGCATCCCTCAGCCCAGCCTGCCCCCTCTCACAGTCCAGGAGCCCTCAGGAGATGTCCTACCTGGCCTCCATCTGCAGGAGGCGACCGGGCTGATCAGGGAAGGTGTCGTCCCCATCACCCTGCTGCTGCTGCCACTGCCGGCGGTGGCAGTTGCGAGGCCTGAGCCCCAGGCCTCGCAGCTGCCAGGGCTCACAGCTGCCTGAGACCGGGGCCTCTCAGCTGCCTGAGCCCACAGCTGCCTGAGCCCATGGCTGCCATGAGCCCCAGGCCTCGCAGCCGCTGTGGCTTTGTCCTGATGGATGTCCGGAAGACGTTTGCCCTAATTAGCATATTACCCTTTTATTAGTATAGATTAAGGTCAGTTTCTAATGTTGATTGTAGACAATTTGAGAGAGTGTTTTTAAGTATTTTCAAGGAGTGACGTGTTTATAAAATAGTTCAAATTCTTAGGTTTATAAATGAAAAATGATCATTTTTTTTTTTTTACCATTTGCTCTATTAAAAACCAGAACCTCTTAATTTTATAGAAAAAATAATAAAAAGAAAGCCATTGGTGGCGGAATAATGGCAGTTTCTCTCTTTTTCTCATTCTTTCCCACAGTGATCCTGGTGGAGGTATTGAAATGTCCGAGTTCATTCGAGAGGCCACACCACCAGTTGGTTGCAGTTCAAGAAATTCTTATGCTGGCCTAGATCCAAGCAACCAGGTAGAAACCTGTGTGATTTTATTTGGCTTTTTTTCCTATTCCTGATGGTGGTCTCAGAAGTTCTCCTGTCTGTAATAGTCATTTGGTATTTATCTTGCTGATTAATAATGTTTTGATTATTTATTAACATATTTTATTGATATTCTTATTTTTTTTTATTGCTTAAAGTATTACAAATAGTATTACATATGTCTCCTTTTTTTTTCCCCTCCTTGACAATCCCCTGGCCTCCCCTACCCCCCAGTCCAATGTACATAAGACACTGGG